GCATAGAGAATGTTTTGAAGGGGCCAGGATAGTTTCCTGTTGGAAGGACAACTGAAGCACCGCCAAACTGTGCCATTGACTGGACAGGCTGTTGAACTTCACAGCTTGGTTCAACGGCAGCCTTTACAGCTCACTATTTTAGTATTCCTTCCACAGTTCTTTACACCAGTTGTACAGCACTTTTTGTACAAGTACCGTAGCCTTTCAATCGAGACCTGCGCGTTTGCAGAGGGTTACTGTGCATCGGGCCGAATTCCTACATTTCCTGAATCCATTATTACCCATTATGACGGTCGAATGATGGAAAGAAATTCTATTGAAGTAAAACCCAGATGTCTCTGGGTGACACACTATCCTTGAAGTGGGCGAAAGCAGGCGAAAAACACCAAATGGGCGAGTAATGGCGTCCAAAGCACATGTATAGCGTCAGAGAGTCAGAGTCCAATGTGCCTCGTCGAAGGTGGTAGAATGATTGACCATCGCATCACAGTAAGGCCGACGGTATGCTCCCGAAAGACAATTTTCACGGTGGTCGAAAGAATACCATAGCGGAAGCTACAACAGCTGAACCATTTTCTCAGACCTTGTTGCAAAAATTCCTTCCTCCACAACCAATTTTTGGTTTTCCCCCGTTTTTTGACAGGGTGCTGCATGACGCAAGTGCAATCATCGTTCTAAGGTCCATCTCATTCTACATGCCGCGAGTAATCTACGTGTCACACCTTGGTGAACATCTTCTACGCATTTCATTCAGATTGAATATTGAATTGAATGCAAAACGCGGCGCGCTGACTCGCACTCCACATCTCCACAACGCACCCCACTCGACCCAGCGACGCGCGCCTGCGTCTTTCCCCGCGCGCCCCACCACTCAACAGCCTAGCGGCGCGCTTGCTCGACAACTCCTCCCAAGCACGGGGGGGATAAGCGGTAAGATGGGGTGTAGTTACTAGTCGCTGGACCAGCACCTCGGGCGTCAGGAGCGCCATGTGCACGCCCTTTGTGCGGGCCTCGCGCAGCCCAAAACGCCCCTTTTCCCTCTGCGCACCACAGGCTCCTGCTCCGTGCACGCTGCACGGCTCCCCTTTTCCTCCCCACAGCACAAAGACACCGCGCCTCGACTTAGCTCGACTCTTTCCTCCTCCTTCTGCAAATCGACTCGGAGCTCGAGGGATCCTGCATATGGTTAAGGGCCGAGATGAGGCTGACTCTTTCCCTCCTCCTGCCGCATCTCCTCCCCCTACTGCTCCCGCCTCGCGCTGCACAGGACGCACAGACACCGGTCGGTACACAAGTCTGCGCGGAGCTCGAGCCATCCTCTCGCTGAAAACAAAAAGAAAGAAACCCTCGCGAGAGACTCGAAACGCGGCGCGCCTCGAGCAAGCCGAGTCGACTGCTGCTCCCACCTCGCACAGACACGCGTACACAAGTGCACAAGTCTGCGCGGAGCTCGAGGGATCCTCCTTCAAGCCGAAAAGAAAGAGGTAGACCCTCGAGAGAATCGAAACGCGGCAGCTCGAGACGAGGTAAAACCATCGACAAGTGCTCGACAGAAATAATCGAGAATGAAATCAATTAAAGCAGTCGAATAATCGACCAAAAGAAAGAAAAAACCCCAAGAAGAAAACAGAGAGCGAAAAGAAATCGATAGAAAGAAAAAAACGCACAAATACGCCACGAAATTATAGTCCTTGAGCCCGTCGCACCATTCGCTGCACGTCGAAAATTCGTTAGCACGCACGTTTGAGCAAGGTTTTAAAGGAAGAGGGAGAAAAGAAAGCGCCCATGATAGACGCGCTTAGACAAGGAAATCCGCTGCGGGACCTGCCTACGGAAAAACCGCCGCGCGAGCTCAAGGACCCCATCCTCTCAAGGGGGTCGAGGACACAGTCCAAGTCGGTGCACTCGTCTACCAGCAAAGGAAGGCAGAGGAGCGAAGGCCCCGCGCACTCGTCCGCACACGAGATGAGACGGCGTGGGCGTGATGAGAGCTCCACGAACGCCAGGCGGGCATTGAGCGACGAAGCCCACTCGCGCACCCTGGGCGGAGGGAGCTCGTCTATCCTCTACACCCGCCCGAGTCGAGTTCACACAAACAGAAGAAGAAGGAAGAGCTCGTGCGTGTCCGAACGCCTCGCCCACCTCCGCCGCGAGGAACGAAGAGCGAAGAGGGGAGCAGCAGCGTGCATCGCCCATGCATCTTTCCTTCCTTCCTCGTCTGCGGCTCGAGCTCTGCGCACCTGCGCTGCGCCCTCCGACTCGTATCGTATAGGAGCTCCGCACATCCAGCGTCGCATCCCACCAGGGCCAGGTATCGATGAAAGACATTACGACAGCTCGGAGTCATCGTCCCTCCCTGCCCGACTCTGGGTGAGGACGTTGTCGTATTTGGAAAAGGCGTTAATGGTTGTTATGTACTGTGTTTTGCGTTAGTTTTTTGTCAAGAGAAAAATAAAGAGATTAGGAGATTAGGGCAACGCGGAGGAAAGCAAGGGAAGGAAAGCAAGGGAAGAAAGAGGGGAGGGAGAAGGAGTAGGAGGATTGGTAAGAGATGGGAAGGCGAGGGAAAGGGAAGCAAAGGATGGCAAGGGAGGCACGGCGAGAAACGCAAGGAAAACAGACACAACACACCTGATCTAGCACATTCGTCCCCCACCCCGGTATGGTCTAGTCAATCGAGCCATTGAGCGGGAGCGTAGGTCGAGTCTACACCCTAGCATTGACCCTACAGAGAAAGAACCCATTAGGGTTTAGGGAGGACACGCGACCACTGTGTGTGTCCGTTTATTAGTTTGATTGCTTAGATTTATTGAGGGGACGCGCATGTCGACGGCTGGTTGAGCGGGTTGTCCGGGCTTGGTATCACAAGTCCTATACATATAATATATATTTCGTTAGCACCTTTCCTCTTTCATAAACCGAAGAGAGAGAACGCTGACGAAAAACCTAGTCCCGCCATCGGCGTACAGGTACCGTCCTGTATGCGTGATTTTGGGGATCGCGCCCACTGTCGAGACGGGCGTGGCTACGCTTGCGAGCGCGGCGAGCCCAGGAATCTTCATGGAAAAGCGAGGGTGGTGCGGTAGGGAGAGTCGATTGAAGCGGGGGTTAGAAGGAGATATAAGCCACAGAAAGGAGTCTCGCAAAAGGAGTCGTTAGAGAGAAATTAGCCGGGTGATGAGAGAGCAGGAGAGAGCGCAACGAGGAACCTCGGAGGAAGTGAAGGCACGGCAGGGGGCACAGCCTCAGGATTGACATTGACAGCTGATCGGCTCGGCCACGCGGGTCCACCTGTTAACTTCCTACCTCGGGGTTTGACGCTGCAGGACCACATCTAGCAGAATATACCTGCAGAAAGAACAAATTTGGGCGAGGTTAATGAAAAAATTGGATGGCTTATTTACGGGCGTTGCATCCATCAGCAAACCCTGATTTTTGCTGTAGTGGCTTGTAGTGTTCTGTAGTGAAACCTACTACTGCTGTAGTGCCTGTAGTGAAACCTACTACTGCTGTAGTGCCTGTAGTGAAACCTATTACTGCTGTAGTGGCCATAGTGCGCTGTAGTACTGGGCCTGAGCTCTGTGGTGCTATGGAGTGTCTGGCTGTCTCTGCATAGTGCTCTGTATTTTCTGATCAAAAAATAATCTTCAGGATGCATTTGGGACAGTCCCTAGTGTTAGTACTGATGACATTTCAAAAGTTACAAATGATGTTCTTGCATGTTTAGGCCTTTTTCAGGGGGTTGAAAATCTCAAAACCGCCGGCTCTCGGAAAGTATTTTGCGTTTTGTGCCTTAACAAAGGAGTTTTATGCAAAATGACCTTAGACAAGTCTTGTAGTGCTCATCGAGCTCTATAACTTTCATTTTTGGTCTATTTTTAGATATATAGCACATTACCACCTGCTTTCATTACAGTCGGCAGATTCATGGTTTAATTGCTTGAAACTAATTTCATGTTAGTACTGATGATGTTTCATGAGTTACAAATGTTGTCCTTACATGTTTAGGCTTTTTTCAGGGGGTTGAAATTCTCAAAACCGCCGGCTCTCGGAAAGTATTTTGCATTTTGCGCCTTAATGAAGGAGTTTCATGCAAAATGACCTTAGACAAGTCTTGTAGTGCTCATTGAGCTCTACAACTTTTGTTTTTGGTCTATTTTTAGATATATAATGCATTACCCTTCCCCATCCCCCTCGCTTTTCACTACAGTCAGGAGATTTATGTTTTAATTACTTGAAACTATTATTTCACGGATTAACACCTCAGAAGAATGAAAAGAGGAGTGGCAAGAGAGGTGGAATGAATGAGAAGAACAGTAAGATCCACATAAATAGTATAGGTTTCTATATACATCTATGGTTACTTTAGTCTAGTGTGTATTTTGTCTATCAAAGTATTTTGTGCATTCTCGCGAGGTCGAGGGTTCGATTCCGGCCAGCAGCAGCCATTTAATTTAATTTAATAATTTAATTACAATTTAAACAGAACCATGAAATATAGTCACAAAAAACATGAAATTGAATTGTGTTCAATAGATATCATCACAGGTAAGAAAAATGAATACAAAGTTGCAAGGAGCAACACTAATGGATTTTTTCTGACCTGTGAAGCTCCCACTCTATAGTACTACAGAGAGAACCCCTTGCACTACAGAGTACTCCATGACCCCGGACCTGCACTACAGACACTACAGCCACTATAGACACTACACGGCACTATGTAGTACTATGGAGTAGGCTCAGGGTTTGCTGATGTCGGCGTCACCTGGCGAACGGCGTTGACGGCCCAGTCATCCCGCGCGCATAAGGCGTTTGTTGACCGCGATGGGATGCGACACCCGCACACTGGCACCTATGTAAGGGCACCTCGGTCCTCGAACTGCCTCGACGCACTTCCAAAACGCCGTCCGTCCAGCGAATGTTGCCGGGACAACCAACGGAACAACTTTCATCTCGCGATTTCACTCCCACCTACCAAGGTTCGCAAATACATACAAAAAGGCCCGGTAGCGGATGGTCCGCACCTGCTCTCTTTATACTGAAGGTATAAATCACCATCATGCAGGGAACGCTCGTTCGACTCGAGCCCGGGCCATGGCCACATTGACTTGTTCCATTTTCTTTTTTCTGCCTTACTGTCCGTTCAATTCGACTCTACGTCTGCAGGGGATAAATGTGAGAGGTCGAAATCGACTTGCGGACGAAGTAACTAGAAGTGTATTGAAACCGGTTGGCTCTACCTTTGACTCCGATCTAACGGAGTTTGCATGCACTGCGTTCCCACCTTACGTAGACGCACCCCGGTGTACGTTGGACTACGTCTGTCTATGTCAAGTCTACGTGCGGCTACATGTGTTGATCTTCGTCTACGTCCAGCTACATATGTGTACACCTTGATGTCGGTGTACGTGCGGCTACGTCTGGCTACGTGGTGTAGACACGGTCCGTCTACCCGTCGGCTACGTATGTCTACGTGCGTCTATAGCGTAGACGCACGTAGACATACCTCGGTCAACTTCATAATGCTGTTCACTCCAATTCTGCATTGAGTTTATTTATCCAGTTCCGCAGAATTGGGTGAGGTATGTGTACATTTGTCTACAATGGTCTACGTGTGTCTACATCGGTCTATGTCGGTCTACGTGCGTGGACCGAGGTAGACCGATGTAGGCATATGGAGGCATATGTAGACGAGCCGTATCTACATGATGTAGACATACGTAGACAAAGGGGTTCGTCTACCCTTTGTCTACAGAGATAGACAGACCCTCTGTCTACAAGGGGTCGGAACGCAGTGATGTGAGGAAATATGGCCCGGGAGAGCTAGCGGACAGTCCACACCCAAATTCAATACAACTTTCCTGCGTTCCTGCCAGGAGATGCTCGTTCAACTCGAACCCGGGCCATATTTGGCTATAAAGTCCTTTTTGGTCTTATATCTCATCTTGATTCCCATCTAGCCAAGTTTACATGCAGAGGAATAAGGCCCGGTAGCGGTTGGTCCGCACCTGCTTTACATAGCCCACTTTTGTACTTTATGCGGGTCTCGCTCGTTCGATTCGAGCCCGGGCTGTGGATTGCTTCATCAGGACCCCTTTTTATTATTATTGTTCACATAAAAATTAAACTGAACCTGTATTTCATTTTCTCGCAAGCCCGATCTGAGCGTGTTTGCTGATTATGGACGAGAATGATTTAGCTAGGAGAACGTGCAACCCATCATATTTTGGCTTCATTTTGATTCCCATCTACCAAGGTGCGCAAATACCTGCAGAAAGGCCTGGTAGCGGACGGTCCGCACCTGCATTCCTTAGAGCTGGTAAAAATACTACAATGCAGCACTGCTCGTTCGACTCGAGGCCAGGCCATGGGTTGGCCCTTGGGATTTTTTTAAAACTGGTCTTGTTCGAAGTCTCGCCGGAGCCGACTCGAGCCCGGCCCATATGTTGCCGGCTTGTGCCATTTTCTTTCATACAGTCGGTTCAATGGAACTCTACCTTTTCAACCTGCACATATATGCCAAGCTGACCCGACCTTGTGGAGGTGGAAATTAGTTTATTTTGGCCTCAGTTTGATTCCCATACAGCGGGCTTTGCAGGCAAAGGGATCAAGGCCTGGTAGTGGATGGTATGCCCCTGCAGTGCATAACACCAGATGAAATCGATTCAGGGTTGCTCGTTCGACTCGAGCCCGGGCCATTATGTATTCCGAATCTTCTGGATTTTGAAGACATTTTTTCTTGCTTTTTTGGCTTCCCCCGTGCCCAGATATATTCGTACAAACTCGTACAACTCTCATGACAGGAGCCAGTTTTCACGAGTCCAATCCCTTACCCCACGACCTTCCCTGTTGGCCAACTCAATCTCCGCTCAACTCATCAAAGGAACTGGGCCTACCACGGAAGACCAACTGAACCTTAAAACCCCACCACGCTCCTCAAACTCGGGCCCGAGTTCCCGTCGAATACTTCTGGTGGCTGCCTCGACCGCTTGGCTGTCATTCAAGCCCGCAGGGTACAGCGCCCACTCTTGAATGACAACGTGGAGAAACTGCACAGATGCGAGAGGCGGTGTCGCCAATAAAGGTTTGACAGTATTTCGAAGAGGTCTGGAATGTTTCTCATCCACCAGAGACGGCAGATAGCTGACATGGAGAATAATGATGGATAGTGCACCGAATGTCGAACAGTGCAAACTCGATACAATAGACCAGATTCCGCCCTCTAAAATGCGAAGAGCGGGAAGGTGAAGTGCATCGCCGTAGTTGTCTATGGATAGTCAGGACGTCTGGATATATAGGGGCAGACTGCTCACCTATAGCACGGTAAATAACGTGCTCTATCGAGGCCGCAAAATGTCTTTGACAATCGACCAATGCATTGGCCTGGTGCTTGAGAATGCCACGATCCTGCCAGGGTTCGCAATCGGGGTAAATCGGGAAAGAGTCCGCAATCTCCCCGAGACTGAGGCGAGAAATCGGCGGTAGCGGCTCAATCTCGAGTAACCACGATACGAAATCGGCGGCGTATGAGAGCGAGATGTGAAGGCTAGTCAAATGCTGGAATGGGGGAGAGATTCCAAACCCAGGAAGGGCGGTTTGACCGATTCAATAGTCTCGTCGAGTTCATCCAATGATAGAGATTGTAAACGAGGGAAAGAAAGCAGGATTTCCACGAGCTCCTGCAACGTGTCACACCCAAACCTGGACAATTCCAGCTGGACGATGTGGCTGAAGGATGATCTGAGGATCGTTTTCGAGGATTTGGATACATTGTCCCAGGTCATGTAGTGTAGACGCAGTACCTCTAGCATGGGCAAGGCGGGGAGCACACAGAGCGCCTCGTCTAGGGATCCCGAGCTACAGATCCTCCAGCCACTATTGATAATGAGATGGCGGATTTCAGATGGATCGACGTCGGGGGGTATGGGATCGGAGCATTTCAGTAGCTTCAATTTGAGATATGTTCTCTGGTGAGGTAGGAAAGCTGAGGGATATCGATGCATCTTCGGGTCTTGGGTGGAACCGTGGCCAGGCTGGATGGCGGTAGGAAGGTAGGGAATCTGTGAGTAGCTGAGAATTTGCGGAGTTGTTGCGGAGCTCCCGTTACGGCACACGGAACCGGGCACTGGCTTGGTTTCCGCTTCTCAAAGAGTGCCCCAAGGTTTAAATTGGGAGGAATCTGGGGGAATCATATCGACAAACTCGAGGATGATCGACAAGTGACTATGTATAATCGAACCTGTTCCAAGACAAGCTGTCCCTACCAATCCAGATGCAAAAGCAAGCACGGGACAAAAGGCATGGTATGCACCAGCACATACATAACACAAAGTGTACATGACGCAAAATGCAAACGCAGGCGCAATAAATACGCAAAAGAAGAAACAAGCAAGCGCAAGCGGAAAGGCAGGGCATCCCGGCCATAACCATAACCTCCCGCGCCGGTGAAAGATAGAGCACCAGCACGGCAACAGCCGCGTGAGTGCATAAAAAAACACATCGAGGTGCACCATTGCCGTAGGTCGCACTCAGCTCGACATCGACATCGAGCAGTAGCGAGCAGCCAGCAAGCCCCTCCTGGCCCCCCATGATGAAAGGAACGCACAGGAGGGATGCGGGAAGGGGATAGCGGGAAGGATTGGAGAGGAGAGGAGATGGATGATTGGAATGGGGATGTTAGGAGGGCAGGGCACGCATACGTCTGAGGGAGGATTGGGAATTAGTTTGGTTGCTTGGATTAATTGATGGGACGCATATGTCGACGGCTGGTTGAGCAGGTTGTCCAGGCTAGGTATCACAAGTATATTCAGATTTCTTTTCGTTAGTTTTCTTCTCTTTTCCTCTCCACTCTTTCCACAAGAGAACGCACCCTGCGTCCGATACGTAATCCCCTTGACGAAAAACCTAGTCCCGTCATCGGCGTACAGGTACCGTCCTGTACGCGTGATTTTGGGGATCGCGCCCACTGTCGAGACGGGCGTGGCTACGCTTGCGAGCGCGGCGAGCCCAGGAATCTTCATGGGAAAGCGAGGGCGGTGCGGTAGGGAGAGTCGATTAAAGCGGGGGTTAGAAGAAGAAGATATAAGCCACAGAAAGGAGTCTCGCAAAAGGAGTCGTTCGAGAGAAATTAGCCGGGTGATGAGAGAGCAGGAGAGAGCGCAACGAGGAAGTGAAGGCACGGCACGGGGCAGCCGCAGGATTGACATTGACAGCTGATCGGCTCGGCCACGCGGGCCCCTATATTCACCTGTTAACTTCCTACCTCGGGTTTTGACGCTGCAGGACTGCATCTAGCAGAATATACCTGCAGAAAGAACAAATTTGGGCGAGGTTAATGAAAAAATTGGATGGCTTATTTACGGGCGTTGCATCGGCATCGCCTGGCGAACGGCGTTGACGGCCCAGTCATCCCGCGCGCACACGGCGTTTGTTGACCGCGATGGGATGCGACACCCGCACACTAGCACCTAAGGGCACCTCGGTCCTCGAACTGCCTCGACGCGCTTCCAAAACGCCGTCCGTCCAGCGAGTGTTGCCGGGACAACCAACGGAACAACTTTCATCTCGCGATTTCACTCCCACCTACCAAGGTTCGCAAATACCTACAAAAAGGCCCGGTAGCGGATGGTTCGCGCCTGCTCTCCATACTGATGGTGTAAATCGGCATCATGCAAGGAACGCTCGTTCGAGTCGAGCCCGGGCCATGACCCAGTAATTTGTGCCATTTTCTTTTTTCTGTATTACTGTCCGTTCAATTCGACTCTACGTCCGCAGATGATAAATATGAGAAGCCGAAATCGACTTGCGGAGGAATTCGAACAAGCAGCTAGAAGTGTATTGAAACTGGTTGGCTCTACCTTTGACTCCGATCTAACGGAGTTTGCATGTGAGGAAATATGGCCTGGGAGAGCTAGCGGACAGTCCACACCCGAATTCAATACAACTTTCCTGCGTTCCTGCCAGGAGATGCTCGTTCAACTCGAGCCCGGGCCATATTTGGCTATAAAGTCCTTTTTGGTCTTATATATCTCATCTTGATTCCCATCTAGCCAAGTTTACATGAAGAGGAATAAAGCCCGGTAGCGGTTGGTCCGC